GGTCGGGCCGGGCCGGTCCCGCACAGTAGCGGGCCGGGCCGGTTCCCGGGCCGGGCGGCCCGAACCGAGGCCATCCCTACCCCCACGCCTCGACCCGACAAGGCAAATGGGAGGATGTAAATCACGGTGACTCAGTTTGCGGAGTGGCAGTAGGCCCATATGCCCGTGCGCGCCAGAGGTCCAACCCATTTCAGAGGTTGTGGCCTCCACACGGTCGCCGCGGGGACTCGAACCAGGGTTCCTTGATCCAAATTCCCACCACTCAACCAACTGAGCTACCCGTGCGGGTTTCAATCATATTTCTAATACCCTCTCTATGCAGTTTTTTTTAATATAAAGGGGTAAATATATGACAAAAAGTACATCTTTAAAGTTCTGGTAAAGTACAGCTATAACAAATCATCAATCTTACTTATTTTTTAAAATGTAGTTGAATATTTTTTAAATCATCAAGTTTTGGATCAAGAATATTTTTTAGTCAAAACCAACATAAGGAAATTTTAAAAGTTTTAGTGTACCATGACTCGTAAGCACCTTTTTGTCAAGATTAAAAAGATGCACCTTTACCTAACATGTTTTTTTTGGAAAGGAGAGAAACTTAAAAAACATGACTGGTTTTTTTAGGATGAAGAGATAACTAAAAACAATATTCAAATACCACTATATTTTTCGGATATGGGGAGTAAGTAATGCTCTAGCTTTAGCATTCGTAAGTCTAAATGGAAGCTAAAGAAAACTAAGGGAGAAAATATGAGAAAGAAGCACATACCAAAGCTAGAGTAAGGGTAATCACGGTAATAGGTACAACATCGTCCAGAAGCTTCGTTGTAAGGAGGGGCAAGAATATCAAGCACGGCACAAGGTGTGACAGCAGTGAAACAGTGCAGATTCCCTCCACTTTCAGGGTATAAAATTGATGGTTTGCAAGGTGCTGTCACAACTCTATCAACAGCCAACTTAGCTAATCTCACTGGAAAAGTAATAGGCATGATTGGAACGCTGTTACACTCTTTAGATAAATATTGAAATTATTTCATGTTTACACACAATTTTCAACTTAGCTACCTCTTAAGGACCCGAATGTGGACACACTTTAATGTGCCACACCAAATCTGTGAACAAAGCCATGCATGCAGTCCATGAGGGTCCCATGTGAATATAATAGGGCCCACCAGACATCTTCATAAATAAATATACCTTTCATATAAATTAAAGAAAAAAACCCAAAACTGAAGGCCGCAATTTCATTTCCATTAACTTTAGCTACTTAAAAACAAGTAAAAAACTTTTGCATACTTTTTTTCATTATAAACAGATTCAGCAAGCACATTAAAATTGGTCAGGGTTTGACGAAATATTTAAATGATGTAAAAAAATTGCCTACAAAATGAGCTCAAAGATTAACAAGTTCTTTAATCACGAGAATGGGGTTGAAAGATAACCTGGATGTTGACCTGTTTGGTCAGTTTTGTAGATGCAAGCTGGCTCAACCCAATCATAAGCTTTTACATGCAAGGACCCATAGAGAACTTTGCTCAAGACCGTCATTCTGGGGTGGTCATGCAGAGGAATTACCGAAGAGGTTGGGAAACAAAATATACACATCTGCATCACACACACAGTTGGCTTATTAAAAAAAGGCAGCCTAGTGCACGAAGGCATCCCCACAAGGCAAGGTCCAGGGAAGGGTCACAACACAAGGTGTATAAGGGGCAAGCCTTCCTCTATCAAATTTTGACAAGAGGCCGCTCCCAAGACTTGAACCTATGACATTTCAGTCGCATAGCAATACCTTAACTGGTGCACCAAGGCCCTCCTTCTGGGTCATCTTGGTCCGCGTGACATCTCGGTCACACAATTGGCTTATTAATTAGCAAAACTTACTTCTTAGGCGTTATCTATGCATCTCGTTTGATAGAAAAATCAAGAGATATGAGGGTCAGACGTCGCATAAACGGGAACTTAGGGGGTGCAATTTGATCCAAGCCCGAAAAGTCAAAACTTGAAACTAGGATCAAACTCAGTTAAACTGTAATTAGCACAAATGAGCTCTGCTAACTATTTTAGCATGGCTTAAATAAGCACGATTGCTGATTTTTTTCATATTCAAATAAATCCCATCTTAACAATAAATTGAAAATTATATTGTGTATATATGATATTACAAGTGTGTCTAAATATAACAAATATTTGTAAAATATAGGAATTATAATAAGACACTATACATATAATGAAAAAGATCGATATTCATTTTGGCTCGACTCATTACTCAAGGGATTTGAGCTTGGGTGCGAAAGAATAGCTCAGGTTTGACTTGCTGACACCCCAACAGACTAACTGACTAAGCATATATAGGTGTGGATTTCTAATGCAAAAGTTAAGGGTGACATCAAATCCAGCAAGTAGAAAATGTATAACTAGAAAATGTAGAATACTAGAAATTAAACACTCTAATGGATTACTAGAAATGTAGAATTACTTGGTACAAATTAAACACGAAAATGAGGTCTGGAAGAAATCCCGGCTAAATATATTTTATCGACTATAGGAGAAGATAAATTGTAATCTATAGATTATTGGCAAGCAGTAACATTGGCACCAACCAAGTATCAAACCATTAGGATAGATACATAGATGAGGGGGCTATATCCTTACCTAGAGGTATTTACAAATATGCTATCAAATTCTGCAGTCATATAGATAGCCATTCATGCATCCACAGCAGAACAGGCGAAAGGAGATTTATAAACAGGACAAGATCTCTTACAGTAAAACTTTCTCCCGCATGAATATCTATGTATGTTATTGGTTGAGCCCATCGATCTACCCGGTTAGAAATATTAATTCCAAAAATCCCATGGCCTCTCTCTTCTTCTTGACTTGCATCTTTCAGCCCAACATCATCAACACCAATTGCATCTGCAAAAACCGTAAAAATTATCATCAAATCTCTTGAGCCATAAGTGAATAACTGAAAAACATTGCAGTTAAAAAAATGCATTTCAACTTAGAATAGTTGCTAATCCACAACAATTGCTATATTTTAATAACTTTATTTTTCGGTTTTACTTACATGTAAATGCTTAAAAACCCCAATATCCAAACAGCAGAATATCAAGGATAAAAATTGTCACCCTTAATCCCTATGTATTATGGAAGGAATTTATATTTGAAGTGCTCTCCTATATATATTTGTCTATCTTGATTGTAATGGGCAGAACAATTACTAATAATAATAATTTGTCTTCTTCCATTTACATTCATATCACTATGTCCACTGTTCAGTCAAACCAAGAAGATTAAGAAAGGAACAGAAAAAGTAGCTTGCAAATAAAAGATTGTACGTAATTTTTCCGCATCTCCAATATCCTAGCAGCACACCAGTAACGCACATGCCTTCCAGTGAAGAAAAAGAAAAAAAAAGCCATAGTTATGTGTATATCAGGGCCTACTAACTACTAAGGTTTTTCTTCGCCAAAGGAAGAAAAAATTGGAGCGCTCCAGAAAGACCGAGCATTTAGGCGCGGCCAAAGTGGAGCTGAAGAAGGATTATTGGAGCAGCGCTATCGAAAGTAACCAGTATTTAGTGTCCAAGCGAAGAATGTCCAACGGTACAAAAAGCAATAATCATATAAATTACAAGTAATTACACGAATATCACAAGATTCAAGGGTTTGAATCATCCAGATATATAATAATTAACTAGAGGCAATGAAGTATGTGGAAATTGTTTTTCTTTGAGGAAAAGGGAAAAACGAGAAAAATGAAGTACCCAGCGAGGAAGAAAGCTTGAGGATGGATTCAGCAGATGGTTGGAGAGTTGTAGAGGGAGTGAAGGTCTTCTTGCAGAGATCATACAGAGCTTGGATCGAAGAGCTCTTCGTGCTCATGCTTAGAAGCCGACGAATGCTTGGGACACACATTTTTAAGCCATCGCCTTTTGGATGGGTGAAGGAATTTCCAGCGACTTTTTGGTTTTACTTAAACACCAGGTTGCTCACTTGCTTGGCCATTGAGGCTTGTCCTTCGGAGCGAGTACTAAATCCGGATTTATGGAATAAACCAGACTCAAGCGGGGACAAATGGTGGCATATGTCTGCAAGTGAAGCAGCTGAACGCCCTGCTGGAAACAAGCAACTGAGTTTGATCCTGGTGAAATTGAACGCGTGTGTGAAATGGTGGAATATGTAAATCCCTATATGATGCCTATTCAATTTCGAGCTTGGCACCGTAATTTGTTGAACTGGTTTTTTTTGTATTTTTATAACTATTCAGTCTAATCTGGGATAAATTACAGTTCAAGTAAAAACATCTCTACCTGACAACTACCTCGCAAAGAAAAGTTCTCATCCCAAATTTCATAGGGCAACCTCAATCTAGTCATCCCGATTTGAGGTGATTCCCAGTAGATTTTTGTGATGTTTTTTTAGCATATTCTTATATCCACAAAATTTTCGAATTAAAATTCAAAACTAGACCCCAATATGAGAGAGTGAAACGATATCTAAATCCTGTTTTAGTGTCAAAGTAGGGAAAAGGGTCAAATAGGACTTCGAACTTACATAAAAAGTCAAATAAGCCCTTATATAGGGGCTATGTCCGGCTGTTGCCATTTGGGGCAGTTCCCGGTGGAACTTTTTGATTAAAATTTTTTTGAGCATCTTATTCATTAAGTCTAGTTTACTCATACCAAATTTCAGCTAACAATTCAATCGGGAAGGCATTCAAATGAATTCTTGAAGATAACTGCGCTTTTAACTGCGTAGTTATATTCAAGAATTCATTTGAATGTCTTCCCAATTGAAGTTTTATCTGAAATTTGGTATAAATAAACTAAACTTAATGAATAAGATGCTAAAAAAATCATCAAAAAATTCCATCGAGAACAACCCCAAATGGCGACGGCCGGACAGAACCTCCTATATAAGGGCTTATTTGACTTTTTTTATGTAAGTTCGATGATCTATCTAACCCTTCCCGTCAAAGTATGAATTTGTTGACTGAATGACAATATTGACAAATCCGAGAAAGATTGGACCACAGCAAAGGTATATTGATCCATCTACATGTTGTGAGACCTCATTATCCTAAAAAATCTTGGAGGAGGTTTCACTAAACAATTTTGGGACATTGTTAAAATTGTATTCCACGAAAAAAAATATGCATTAGATATGTTTGTTACATTTTTCATTCCCCTCTTAGTAACCAAAGCACTTGACCGGCCCTTTCCCATATACACTTCTACATATAAGCACTAGTAAATCCAGATCACATTTTAGGTGTGACTGTGTAGTGTGTACAGCTTCCGTCATTGTCGAATTTCTACTCTATACATATTCTCCTTGTGCTATAAGCAGGGATTTCCCTCTGTTTATTTCAAGCCAACTGGAACCAGGCATTTTCTTAACATCCCTATTCTCCATCATTTCTCTCAAATTTCCCACATTATCCCAAAGGTGCAACCCAGCAGATGTGTTTGACAGCAATACATAGGTTGTGGGGTCATTCTTGTTAATATTCAATGCTTTTCCCGCGGCTCGGTTGGCTGTTTCCATATCCCCATGAAGCACACATGCCCCAAGCAAGGTTTGCCAAACCAAGAGACCTGGTTCAAATGGCATATCCAGAATCAATGCTTCAGCTTCCTTGATGCGTCCAGCACGGCCAAGGAGATTCACCATGCATGCATAATGATCTTCCACGGGGACAATACCATATTCGTTCCTCATTGAAGAGAATAAACTCCACCCTTCGTCAATAAGACCTCCTTGGCTGCAAGCATAAAGCACGCATATTAGGGTAATAATGTTAGGCTCCACCCTTTGCCTCCTCATTTCATGGAAGATCTCAAGAGCTTCTTTGGAGCATCCGTTTTGGGCATACCCAGCTATCATGGACGTCCATGAAACAACAGTGCGCTCATTCATCGATTTAAAAACCACATAAGCACCACCCATGCACCCACATTTTGCATACATGTCAAGCAGTGCATTATCCACACAAACATCAATATCATCACCTAGTTTAATCCTAAGGCCATGAAGCATCTGTCCCTCCTCCACACAAGCTAAATTTGCACATGCGTTAAATGCAGTTGCAAGAGTAAATTTGTTAGGGATCACACCAACCACTCTCATCCTTCCAACAACCTTAAGTGCCGTACTCGGCTCGTCGAAATTCAAAAGCCCTGCAGCCATTTGAGTCCAGGAGCGCACATCCTTTGAACAGATTTCCTCAAACGCTTTCAACCCTTCACTCAACCTTTTAGTTTCCAGATACATATCCACCAATGAGTTCCCAACACACACTTCACCCCCATGACCACACTTTATGAGCCAGGCATGAACCTGCACACCCATTTCAAGGTTGGAGAGCTCAGCCAATCCTGTAAGAACACTTGAAAAAGAGAACTTGTCAGGTTTCACGCCATTTCTTAGCATCTTCAGCCAAAAGCTTGGTAATTCTGAACAGACACTCTGAACGTAACCATTGAGCATGGCATTCCAGGTCACAATATCCTTATCTATACAATTCTCGAACACCTCGTGTGCTTCTTTCAATCTGCAGTGCCTTAACAAACCCGTCAATAGAGCATTTACCAAATAGATATTAGACTCATAACCAGACCTAACAATCATCCCATACACTTGACATAAATGCATCAAGCTTAAACAATCCCCAAACGAACAGGCATGCAGTACGCTAACAAATGTGAACTCATTCGGCTTAATTCCACTCCGATGCATCCTTAAAAACAGAGAAAATGCCTCGATAGGAAACCCCTTCTGCACAACTCCTGCGATAAGGGCAGTCCAAGACACGACGTTCTTTTCTGGCAACTCATCAAACAGTTTAAGCCCGCCCCTTATGTCCCCGCATTTGACATATGAGTTCAAAACATGGTTTCTGATGTATAGAGAGGAAGAAAGGCCAGGGTTCTTGAGAAGTTTAGCGTGGATTGCGTTCGTGCCGCCTAAGTTCGAAGTCAGCACACAATTTTGAAGCGTGCGAGCATATGCCATTTCTTCTCCTTCTTGAAAGGAATTCCATGAGGATGAGCTATTGTTGGCACTCTGGTTCAACAGTACTGATGAAGAAGTGAAAGTGTGACTGCAATGAAATCTAGAAGAAAAGAAAACGATGTGTCGTTTTCCAAGTTTAGAATAAAGCATCTGCACATATCATGGAGCCACAATTATAATAATTATAATAATAATAATAATACAGAGGAATGATGTGTGTTTGGAAATGCAAATGAGTAAAAGTACAAAAAAAAAAGATAGAGAAAATTCCCAGAATATGAGTAATTTTTTTTGGAATTTCATAATAGTTTTTCCCCTAAAAATACAAACACATTTCTTAGGCTACAACATTCATGGTATACAAAAATATAACTTAGAAAATTGGTTCTTCATTAATATAAGATTTATGTAATTAAAGGCGAAATTGATACCATAATCCATACTTTTACACACTTTCTTAAAAGTATTCCCTATCGAAAAGGTTCACAACAATAACCCTGGCTTGTAATCGCTTTGCAAATATGAACTGGAATCTAACAGTGTTAACTTTTCCATTGATTTATTTTTGCAAGTTGAATGTAGATTAAAACAAGTATTAACAATGCAATATTTTATCTTAAACATATTCTGTTAATTTAATTTCATATTAAATATTTATCATAAAACATAATACTCATCATTTTATTTAATAGTAATCATAAAATATAAAACTCAGCAGGTTGTCTTTTACTCTTTCATTTCTAATCCATATTTTAGTCATACTGAATCGTTAATCATTGTAATACAAATTCCATAGTAGTTTTGGTAATACTATATTGAATAAAAATACAAAGAATGTGATAATTATTTATAAACATTCACAGCAGAATTGGTAGAAGGAGATTTATAAACATAACAAGATCTCTTACAGTAAAACTTTCTTCCACATGGACGTCTATGTATTTTATTGGTCAAGCATATCGATCTACCAGGTTAGGTATATTAATTCCAAAAAGCCCGTGGCCTCTCTCTCCCTCTTGACTTGCATCTTTCAGCGCAACATTATCAACGCCAATTGCAACTGCAAAAAAACGTAAAATTTGTCATCACAGAACTTGACCCATGTGTGAATAACTGAAACACATTGCAGTTAAAAAATGCATTTCAACTTAGATGTTTTAATTACATTATTCTTTGGTTTTACTTAAATTTTAATGCTTAAAAACCTTTTCAAAACTAGGCAAAATGGAACTTGAAGATACCATGTGGTCCCTCAGATTTCTTTCTAATCTTCTCATAACTCTTGTTGGTTCATCTGAAAATTATATCTTTCCCTTAGACAAGTGACTCACAGCTTTGTTGAATGAAATATCAATTATGTCCCTGCAGTCTAGGGTGTTTTTCCAAGGAGAACTCAAAAACTCAAGGGAAAGTAGAATATAAAGAATAAAAATTGTCACTCTCAATCCCTATGTCCACTGTTCAGTCAAACCAAGAAGATTAAGAAGGGAACAGAGAATGTAGCTTGCACATAAAAGAGTGTACCTTTCGAATCCCCTTTTAAAAATTTGAAAAAGCAAATGTTACTACATACTTTGTCCCTATCTCCGATATCCAAACAGCACCCCACTAATGCACATGTCTTCCCATGAAGAAAAAGAAAAAAAGAAGCCATAGATATTTGTATATCAGGGCTTAGGAAGTAGGAAGGTCGTGCTTCGCCAAAAGAAGAAGAAATTGGAGTGCTCCAGAAATACAGAGCATCTAGGCGCGGCCAAAGTGGAGCTGAGCAGGGATTATTGGAGCAGCGCTATCGAAAGTAACCAGTATTTAGTGTCCAATTGAAGAATGTCGAACGTATAAATAGCAATAATTATTTAAATTACAAGTAATTACACGAGTATCACAAGATTCAAGGCTTTGAATCATCCAGATAAATAATACTCCGTAATTAACTAGAGATAAGGAAGCATGTGGAATTTGTTTTTCTTTGAAAAACAGGAAAAAAATACCCAGTGAGGAAGAGAGCTTGATGTCAGGACCTTTTCTGGCCCAAAAATCTAGATTGTTAAGAGAACAAGTCCGTGACATTGAGGATGGATTCAGCAGATGGTTGGAGAGTTGTAGAGAGGGTGAATGTCTTCTTGCAGAGATCATACAGAGCTTGGAACGAAGAGTTCTTCGTGCTCATGATTAGAAGCCGACGAATGCTTGGGACACACATTTTTAAGACATAGCCTTTTGCGTGGGTGAAGGAATTTTTGGATGAAGAGATATCAAACTAAACCATTATATCCAAACTAGGCATGGGATCTGTTCGGTTCTTGTTAAAATTCGATGGAACCGTATAAAAATCGTAGGCGTTAAATTCGGTTCGGTTCTAGTTAAAAATGTAGTTGTTAAATTCGGTTCGGTTCTAGTTAAATTCGGTTCGGTTTGGTTCTAGTTAAATTCGGTCCTAACAAAAATTTATTATCCTCCTGAAATGAACACACTTCAGTTACATAAAAAAATTCAAATATTAAATCACAAAATTAAGACCATTACATTATAAATGCATGATATCTCAATGTTCAAAAATCCAAAGACATATCCAAGTACAACATTAAATTTAAACATAACAAAAATCTCGATTTAAAATAGGCATCAACTGTCAAGCAAAAAGGTTCAATAGCCCCAGAGTACACATCCAATAGCAGGTAGTTCAACCCCAAAATAATATTCTTCTTCTAGTAATGCACAATAAGTAAAAACTACGTAGTAATAAACAACGTAATCAATAAAATGTTAATTCTTTTTTGTAGTGAACTCCAATAACAAATTCAATTACAAACAAAAAATTTATATAAAAATGGACTAAAGTATTAAAATGATAACTACTCGGATTGGCGTGGTCCACAATATATAAGGTATATTATGCAAGAATAATATTTTTGACAAGAACTTTTTGCCCGAAAGGCCGTCTAACCGCCTTCATTTGAGGTACTTCCGTGAAGATTTTTTTGATAAAGTTTTGTGAGCATGTTCTACATGAAATGTAGATTACATATACCAAATTGCAGCTTAAAATTCAATCGGGAAGTGAGTTAAATAAAATATTGAAAAAATTGCATTTTTTCATATATTTTGGCGTAATGTTTTTCAATAATTTATTTAACTAACTTCCCGATTGCATTTTAAGCTCAAATTTGGTGGATATAATCTTTATTTAATAGAAAACAACCTCACAAAACTTCATCGAAAAATTCCACCCGGAAACATCTCCAATGAAGACTACTCATGCAGTGTATGAGAAGTTCGGTTCCTGGCCAGGAACCGGAACCGAACTGGAACTGAACCGGAACCGAACCGATGAAAGACTATAGGAACCGAACCGAAAAAAAGTGAAGTCCAAAATTATAGGAACCGAACCGAACCGGAAATTTTGGTTCGGTTCGGATCGGTTTTCCCGGTTTTCGGTTCTAAGTCCCAGCCCTAATCCAAACGGTACTGGTATTTCCACCTAAACATGCTCCTAAAACACATTGAGAACCCGTTGCTCCTCAAAAGTTACATATTTAGGGAAAAAATTGACTGATAAGATTTATAAGTCGAAAACATGAATCATCACACGAGTTCTTAATCTTTAAAGGATTAAGATAGACTTCTCATTAATGTAAACTTCATGCTTAGAAATCAAGAATATAAAATGAGAATAACAGGGTTACATATAATGTTAAATAAGCCAAATATCTTGTGGTTTGATAGCATCATTGCTTATCTCTCAAAGAAGATGTCACAGGTTCGAGTCACATACCAATCAATGATGTTGGCATTAACAATATCAAATATTATAATAGCTTTAGAAGATTATTCCAAAAAATCCCATTTTTACTTATGTACAAAAATATTTATGTAAATAAAAATGGATGAGTTAATAAGTTATTTTGGACTTTAACTAATTGATAAAAATGAATGATCCAATAAATATTTTGAGCTCTATCTTATTGGTGTGAGTGAATGAAATGTTTACTGATTATGGTGTATTAATCGATTAATCAAAAAGATCTGTAAAACATAATTTGAAACATGTAGAGATGTCAAAACGGGCCAACCCAACTCAACCTAACCCAACCTGACTTGGCCCGTGACGAGTTTTGCTTTATGTGGGTTGGGTCGGGCCAACTCGTTTAACGACGGGTCAGAATTTCTACAACCCTAACCCAACACATCTAACCCGTGGGGTTAACACACCTAATTAACCCGTGAGTTAAACAGGTTGGGCCGCGGGTCAGTGAAAAAAAAAATATACCCGTACATGACAAAAGATTCTTTAAAAATAATTATTCTAGAGTATATATTTATAAAGGTATGTAATAATAAAGGAAATGTAATAATAAAGGAAATATAAGAAATCCAAGTACTAATGTTAGGCCTTGTTATTATAGCTACAATAGTAATGGATGCACAAAAATATATTCAAATAGTAAGAAAATTCCACTGAGAATGATTGAGAAATGATTTGAACAGATGAAATTTCTATCTAGTGTGAATAAGGAAAGTATTTCTGAATGTCCTCTGCGGTTGTATTGATCGATAATGTAACTTTCCCTTTAGCACATATTTATATGCGTAGGGTACAACGCTAAAGCCTATTTGATGGGACTTGGGCCCTAACATTAAAGTGGCCCTTGTCCATTTAAAGCCTAAATTAATAATTACATTTATTCTATAAAAATAAATGCAAGATAACTAAAACAACTTGGCTACAATTAAAAATATTCTTCAACAACTAATCACCCAATACTTGTTAAATTTAATTAAAAAATACTCCGTATTAAATACTAGTTATACCGGAATTTAAAAACTATAAAAGGACATGTAACAAAAATACTCATATATAAAAGTAGAGGTCTACTTAAATATTTTGAGTAATTATTTGCAAAGAAGAGCATCGATCTTCTTAGTGAAGAGATTAATTTGGAATCATTGACAATGACTTTGATGAGGAACGACATTGAAGAAGGGTGAAAAGCTCTAGATGAACGCTAAATCACAGTGGACGGTAGAGATATGTTAAGTTGACTAAGAATTTCCGTATATGCATGAGAAAGCCTACTTTTAGGCATGAATAAAAATCGGCAAAGCTTATTGTCCGCATGTGTACAGGTTCTTAGTCATCTATTCTCAAAAGTAAATAAAGAATGAATAACTAGTAACGGAGGAATATCTACATTAGGTCACATCCGGAAGTCGTATTTTTTTCCGTAACTGAAACATGTGAATAATTTTTTACCTATAATAACAAATGCATATGACTAAGTGAAACCATTTTTTCTTGAAAACTCCATTTCTTTTATTTCTTATTAATTTAATTACATTACTAATTAGTTTAAGGAAACTTGTCATTTACTTAAGTGATTTACTATTTTGTATATTTTGAACACACATCAAATTATATAATCTACACATTAAGAACATTCGGCGTATTATTTTATAATACTTTCTCCGTTCTAAATTGATTTGCAAAGTCAACATTTTTTTGACAACTAACGTTAAAGTTAAATCCTTCCTATTAATAATTAAATCAATTTTAATAATTAAATTTACATATTCAGAAACTATACTTCGTATTAAAACATCTATAAAGTTGCAAAATCAAATTAAAACATAAATAAAAATTAATATCTTAATTAAGTGAATAAAATGAAACTGTTTGACCCAAAATAGTTGACTATGTGATGGTGATACTATTGCTGGAGTACGGATTTTCATCGATGAGTCATACCACCAACATGTGATGGTGATGTTATTGCTTTTTCCATAGTTTGAGATAATAATGATTTAAAAATGATCAATCATATACATCAAAATTGGATTTTATTTTTCCAAAATATATCAATTAGACGTTTATTCTCTCTAATAAAAAACATAAATTACTCACCGAGAAAAGAGGATTACCTATCACACTTTTAACACCATATCAATGAGGATACCATCTATACAATAGAATATTGTGTATGTATATAGATGCGAATTATGTAATAATATTAGTGTTTGATCTAAATTTGAATACTCACTAATATGAGTTAGTTAATCTATTTGAGGTTATTTAGAAGAAATAATGGATGGGATTTTACTCCTAGAGTGTTTTTTTTTTTGGAAGAAATAGACTTAAATTGATAACACATCATTCAGATAGTAGGCAAACCGACAAAAAGACTCTTGAAAACCGTGTCCCTCGAACCAGACTCAGAGTTTATCACCTCGACAGAAGCAATATAACTCACTGATCCATTAATTGACACAAATGAGCCAAACTGCCAAAGACGGTTAACGCAGCCCTTTCATCACCCATATCCAAATCCACACTCTTACAACAGAAAACATACCAAAAGAAAAAGCAAACACTATGATCAAAGAATTTAAAATGCAAAAAGACAATAAAATAAAATTAATGCTCCTTCCAGAGCACCACTTCCAACCACGTTCCGGAACCTCCTATTTGTTTCTGATACTCCAGCGGCGGTTCAGGAGGAGGACGAGCCGACAGTACTGTAGTTTCTTCCTCCCTCTGCCTCTTATTCATCACATTCTTTGTCAAGCCTCCACTTTCCCCACCAATCACAGATGACCTTGAATCCAAATGTGTTCCAGCTTTTAACCTCAAACTTCGTCCATGACCTTTACTCGATGATGTCATCCTTTCACTATTGTTGTTTCTGTTTCTTGTTCGCACCAAAAACTCGTCGCAGGAGAAAACCCCAAATCAAAAAAACCACCCAATCTATCATATTGGCGGAAGAACTAAAACTCTAACTAGAGGGACAACGGCCGCTTCATATGATATTGAGACCGAATAATGAATAACGAGACAGTGAGATCGAGGGCAGACTGGCAGAGCCGGCAAGCCGCAGAGGGACGGCCTGGACGGCTGGAGAGTGTCAAACGCGCAAACCATATCTCTGCCTCTCTAATCTTTGGACGATAGGGGAGTCTCCTCCTAGAGTTTTAATGGACAAATATATGACCATAATTAAAATTGGACAAAAAAGTGATAAGTTAATAATACATGGATTTAAATACACCCAATAAATCAAACCCCTAACTCCAAAAAGTAAATATGTACATAGATTGGGGTTTCCTTTTTCAGTGGCTGCTTACAATAAATGATGCAGGAGGTAATTAGTATTTGATTATCAATGATATCCTAAAATAGTTAAACTTTATAATAACTAAGTATTAAATAAAATAAAAATAAACTGTTTGTGTGCTAAAATAAATAAAATAAAAATAAACTGTTTGTGTGCCAAAATTTGGAGAGGAAGTAGACATAAGGGGCTCTTCAAATTAAAGACTTAAATGGACAACAAAAACACCACTCCTAGAGACTTTTGTTGTGGATGAGCCAATAAAATTTTGATCAATATGCCTCAGAAAAGTTGTCCAAAAACTGCTCCAATTACAGTATGAAAATGCAATATAATAAGGGCTTTTTCCTTCAATATGACCAAATTAAAGCTGATTTCCAAAAATATAACACATAAAACTGCTCTCATATTTCAACCCAATATCCTGATTATCTAGCTCTTCTTCTCGTTGTCCTTTCTCTTCCTTTACCGTTCTTTCTAAATTCAGATGCAACCTTGGCGCCTCCAATATCACTCTATCATACAAGCAAGCTTAGCATAAAAGAACAAATAATGGCTAGTTCCTTTAAGAAAGAATAGTGGCTGGTCCCGTGATGAGTTTCTTCAAGGATCTCCTTTGGCTAGTTCAAACACTTTGAGCCCGTTTGGTAGCACGAAAATCGGCTGTTTTGGCTGGTTCTGCTGAAATTTATGAAGTTTTGGCTGAAGTGGCTGTTTTGGCTGATTCTGCTGATTCTAGAAAAAAATATTTTAAAAATATATTTTATTAATAAAATAAAGAAAAAATTACATGTAAAAATAACTAAAATGGTCATCTACAGTAACTTCAGCCAATACAGCCAGAAAAGTAACTCCAACCTTAATTTTTCTGCTTATTACACAATTCAGCACGCGAAAGTAAAAATTACGTGTTTGGTGAAAAAGCTGGCTGATAAGCCTGATAAGCCGAAGAAAGGGGTCTCCAAACAGGCTCTTGTATGGCTTATGCATAAGCTCATCTGATTGCAAACACTTTTAACTAATTGCAATAAGTAACTTGTCAACATGTAAGCTCTTCTGATTGCAATTCAAAAAGCATTTTGCGGTTCAAACTCACTTTGGTAATTTTTGGAACAAACTTTAGATCTTTGGTAGCAGGAAGAAATAGAAGATTCAAAAACGGTCTCACCTTTTTGCCATATTGCTGAACATCTTCAATGAGGCATGCTCCACTGTAGAAACAGACCTGCACACAGCAGACATCCTCAACCTTTCTTAGGTGTCAGGGAGGAGGCAAGCCGAGATTTGTGAATCAATCAGAGAGAAAGGGATAAAGTACTAATATGTAAGAGCCATATCAATACACATTCAAGAACAATCACAAAAATGAAACCCTTTTTTCCTACTAACCCAATCACGCCTCTGAGTATATCACACTTGTATCCAATGTATATTTATTTCAATAAAACCAGGCCAGCGTCAGTCCCTCTTTGTGCAGGAGAATATTTTCTGCTATAAGAATACCATGGTATCCAATCCAATCTAATAATTAATTAGCCAAGACGGAAAGCGAACACTTTTAACTAATTGCATAAGCTCTTACATGTTGACAAGTTACTTATATGGCTATGCACATCTTACACCTTGGATAGAATGCTATATGAAATTTCGCATACCTTCTCTGCCGCTCCCTGTACAAATCAGATGGACAGTGCTTCTTCAAAAAATAGTAGGATTGTAGGATTGTCAGCCACAAAGCTAAAAAGGATGAGCCTTTCAAAGAACCATCAACAAGCTAGCAAAGAATGACTCGTAGCTTTTAAGTCCATCAGTTCTTAAAAAACATTATTAAATTTATATTTCAGTATTAATAGAAGTTATCAGCTTTGATGCCAATGATACCAACAAAGATTTGATAATTTCACCTGGACGAAAAGATGAATGCATATCAGCAGGACTGACATCCTTTTTCCTGTTTAATTAAAGAGAGAAAAATAAAGCTTAGAGACCTTATTAGAGAAAATGAAAAGGTTTGACATATTGGTAGATTTTTATGCAGAATATACTTGGAATGAAAATTCGAAACTTGAATGTGTTTTAAACTGAATATTGCTCTTAACATCAGGTTAGTATTTTCACATAAACTTCTGTCTACACCCCATAAATCTCACCAGCCATTTTTCTATGGCCTCCACCTTCAAATCTCACCCTCCATAAATCCCACACAATGGCATATGTTTTTTATGGTCCAGATTATAACCCCAAAATTTGTCCCACAAATCCATCCATGCCACATCACCATCTATAAATGATAAACCGCTCACAAAGGTAAATAGTATTGGCGAGTATAGATTTTTTTATGATCGGAATCAAAACCTCAACAAAGTGTGCATGACATCATCATTTTGGATGCCCTAATAGTGATAAAAATACGAGCATACGACGTAATAATTATAATACCATATAGAGCAAAAAAAGGCGATGCTGAGGTTACGAGACTTATACTCCCTACATATTTTTTGTTTGCTAAACTTTCTTTTATTGGATAAATTTTAATTTTTGACACAATTTCCCTTTACGATAAGTTTTCCCTTTGAAAATACCTAATTACCCTCATTTTTTCTACCTTTTCATTTCCTCTTTCATACTTTTCCACTTTCTCTCTTACTTTTTCTACACTATGCATTACCCCTACTATTCTTCCCTTAAATATTAGGCCAAACATTATTATAGCAAACAATAGAATTCAGAGGGAGTATAAAGAATAAATATTGTATTAAAGATACCTATAAAATCTCTTGAAGATGTATAGGATAGACTTTATTCATAATCTTCAGCATAGCATATCAATGTGCACCACAGCAAGCTCACAAGTCACAACCATTTTCAAACAATTTGATTTCATCACTTAATATACCCAGGAACTCATATATCTGCATACAGTCGGGGTGTGAATGGTCTTTTGCAATAAAAGCATGCACCTCATTATTGACTTCTATCCAACTCCTACCAGGAACTTTCTTGACTCCCTTCTCTCTCATCAACCTCTTTACACTAGCTATTTCATCCCAAAGCTTTAGTTTTCCAAACAAATCAGTGAGCAAAACATATATACAGTGTTCTCCAGGATCCAATTCCAATAAACAATGTGCTACCTCAGTGGCTAGTTCAATGTCACCACATGTTCGGCAAGCTCCAAGTAATGTTTTCAAAACCATTGAATCAGGTTGGAACGGCATCCCTCGAATAAGCTCCTTTGCCTTCTCAAGATGCCCGGCCCGCCCAAGTAAATCTACTGCACAAGCATAATGCTCCATTCTTGGTGGGATCCCATAATTGGATTCCATGGAGTTCAGAAAATTTTGACCTTCTTCCACCAAACCTATGTGGCTACATGCGGTCAGAACAGCAATGAAGGTCACATGATCTGGACTGACAATTCTATCTATCATTGAAGAGAAAAGATCAAGTGCAACTTCACCCATTCCATGTTGCGCATATGCAAACATAATTGAGTTCCAAGTGATTGAACTCTCCTTTGGTGATTCCTCGAAGGTTTTCCATGCATCCTCAATGTGTCCACACTTGGAATACATGAATATTAATCCACCAGTCACATATTCATATACAAAGACTCCTGTTTTTAGTGTCAAGGAATGAATTTCTTGACCCAATCGAAATATTGACAAATCTGAGCAAGATCGAAGGACAGCGGCAAAGGTATATTGATCCATCTCTATGTTGTGGGACCTCATTTCCTCAAAAATCTTGAAGGAGGTTTCACTTAAAGAATTTTGGGACATTCCGGTTAAAATTGTATTCCACGAAACAGAATCTTTCACACCCAAAAACTCAAAAACTTTCATTGCATCATCCATATAACTGGCATCGGATTTTAGATACGTGGAAATTAATGCATTAGATACGCTTGTTACATTTTCCAGTCCCCTCTTGATAACCAAAGCATGCAAGGACTTTACCTGCCATTTTCTATTAATTTCACAACTGGCACTTATTATACTAGTAAAAGTATATATATCTGGCTCCATGCCCAGCCTTCCCATATCCAAGAATAGTTTATATGCATCCATCTCTTTATCATATTCTATGTAAGCTGCTAACATTGAATTCCAAGTGATCAGATCTCGACAACTGTCAGCCCCATCAAACACCTTTTCAGCATTCTGGATGCTTCCGCAGTTTGAGTATGCGCTAAGTAGAGCATTAGAAACTGTGTTTTCAAAATCCAATCCAATTTTTATAATTTTTGCATGGAGCTGCATTGCAAGCTTGTATAAATCCTGATCATCTAGCAATGTCAAAAGAGGACAGAATGTTCCATCATCAATTTGCACACCCTCTCTCCCCATTCTTTCCATCAACTTAAAACAATTCATACAGTCACCAGTCTCCGCATATCCTGCTATTAAAGCATTCCACGAAACGGTGTTGCGTTCAGGCATATGAAGGAACGCTTTACTAGCATCCTCCATTCTGCCACATTTGGCATACATGTCTACCAGAGCACTTGCACAATAAACATTATCATCGTACCCCATCTTAACAACATCGGCATGCACCAGTAGCCCAAACGAAAGGTAAGCATTAGTGGCAACACCTTTAAGTATGCTCCCATAAGTGTAGCCATCAAACAGAAGACCATGTTGCTTCATGGACTTCAAGAAATCCCAAGCACTCTGGATATTCCCAGAGTTCACGTAGCCAGCAATCATGGTGTTCCAAGAAGCGGTGTCTCTAAGGGGCATTTCATCGAACAGCTTGAGAGCAGCTACTATATCTCGGCATCTTGCGTAGACGTTAATCAAGTTATTAGCCGTATGGGTTTGCCAGATTTGAGCTGATTTGATTGTTCGACAATGGGCAACTGCAGCTTTTGATACAGAGGCCATCAAGGTTTCAGTTGGCAAATCCCCGCTGTAATGTGTCCGCTACCAAACCTTTAAATAACGCCATGGAGTCCATGTGGGTCCCAAGAGAATTTACTTGGACAAATTGGAGAAAAAATCTATAAGGGAAATTTGTTGATTCAGTCCCGTAACTTATAGTTATACCGGATATTGGTCCTGTAACTTTATTAACTTGCAATTTACATCTCGTAACTAATAAGTTGGTGCAATTTTGGTCCTTCTCTGCCGGAACTTACCAATTTTGCCGGAAAAAGACACATCACCTATCACATGGTATATTATTTGGAACTCATTTACTGACTCAATATTTGCCCTTAGCTGGAGTTAAAAAACCAGAGTACGAAAGCTCTTCGCTGAGTGCGTGCACAACCATACCAAGCCTATTATCGGATCTGCAAAAGGGGGAAAGAACACATGACCCTACCTGGAGATTTCTCCTGAACTAAGTCGAGAGAGTGAGTTATTCTTCAAAACTGCTAATAACGGCTCTCGATCAGACATGAGTTTATGGAGTGTGATTGTGGTAAAAATGTTTCTCTTCTAACTTCTTGGACTGATAACAATTCTGAAAGGAGGTTTCGTGTGTGCGATAGAAGCAGAGTAAGAAGTTGAACTTTTTAATTTACTTTGTTTGCTTCTTTTTTTTACTAAATAAACTAGAAATTTAAGAATAGCATTTGAATAATAAATTTGTTTGAAAATTAAAAAGTATTTAAATTTTAAGCTAGGTTCTTCTAATAAAATTATTATCTTCTATTTGTTGGGGGCATTTGATAATGTATTTTTGTGTTCAAAGCAGTAAAAAGTAAGTTAAGCTTCATCTTGTTTTGATACAGACATAAGGTTGCAGATTTTTTGAATTGGCGGACCCACCTATGTGCCATCTTTGAACGATGATAATTCTGGGATTGGTTAGAAAACTTAATTCAAAAGAGGAAGAGGTTCTAAAGTTGAAGGCTAAAAATAATAGACTCCTCATAGTTGTTGTGGGGCTAGTGTTTTTGCTCCTGGTCTTTCTCATGTTAAAGATGTGAGAAGTGAAGATGATGTAACATTTCAAGAGTGTTAGGTAGTTTAGGTTATTAATTAGTACCACATTATGAAGGTGCAGTAAGACATTGTTATTGTTAGTTGTAAGCTTTTCCTAAATTGTTAAAAATTTACATCTTTTATTTTGAATTGACAATGTTATTTACTTTCAAGTTTATGTTTATGAGTAATATATGTGGTCTGAAGTTTTAAGAAGAGTTGGAGACTCTGTCAAATGCTTTATTCTTAAAACATGAATCCAGAAAGCTTTAAACTTCATTCAAAATGCTCCTGCTGCAAGCCAGCAACCAAGAAGAAATAAGTTTTTAACTCCAGCTAAGGGCCAACATTGAGTCAGCAAATGAGTTCCAAATAATATACCATGTGGCATGTGATGTGTCTTTTTCCGGCGAAATTGGTAAGTTCCGGCAGAGAAAGACCAAAATTGCACCAACTTATTAGTTACGGGATGTAATCTGCAAGTTAATAAAGTTACAGGACCAATATCGAGTATAGCTATAAGTTACGGGACTAAATCAACAAATTTCTCAATCTATAATTTCCACACCTCTGCGAGTTTCCAATTGGAGAAAATTGTTTAATTTTATATTGGCCTGCAAAAAATTGTCTGCTACTCTTCTGCACCTCATAATGACCTTTGAGTTTCCCTCTGTATAAAATTATACTCCCTCCCCCCTCCGTAACAAAAAAATCTTCTCACTTTTCTTTTTCGTCCGTAACAAAAAAAATCTTCACACTTCTATATCTTCCCATCATACCCTCAATAATTCTAAAAATAATACACTATTACAACAATTTTTTTTGGATTTATCCTACATTCCATCACATTATTCCACTAACGTCCCATCATGCTCTCAATAATTCATATCATCTTTCACTATTCTTAATCTACCTACTTTTGAAATGGGAAGATTTTTAAGTTACGGAGGTAGTATCTACCACTAGCACATGGTTATCAACGTCTACCTCACGAGTACGGTAGAACTCCTAGACAGTATTTGAGGCTTTTTCTGATGGTGGTTTTCAAACGCCTGCGCAGAAGAAAAAATCAGTTAAAGAATAAACTCCTTCATGACAAAATGAAGTAAGTGTGCCCATTTTAGTATACATTTTCAATCAAATCTGATCAAGAAAATAGACATTCTTAATGTGCTAAATATTTGGGCTGCTACTAGCTTTTTCTCCATATAGAAGAATGCTTAAAATGTACTTCAGCTGTTCTTTTTTAGTTGAAACAGTCAACCTTTGCACATTTGTCAACGCACACATTTGACCGTAAGTATATCTTAATCTCTATTAATCAAAAAATATTAAAAATCAGATTTTAAAAATTTGTAATGAGATGACTTGAAAAATATTTTTTTAAAAAAATAATTTCCGTAAAATAATAGTGTAAAATGTAGTCAAAGTAGATCATGTGAATAATGCAAAAAGTCAACATGTTGCAACTAAAAAGAGACGGAAGATAGTATAACAAAGATTTATACAAATGGCTTAACTCCTCTGGGTCGGTGTCAGTTTTGATAAAATAAAAATCTAAATAATGAACATGGATTTCTTATGCTCTCTGGTGCACTTCATCAAAACATATACCGAAGTATGTGATATATCGCTAGCAGCGGTTGAAACAAAACTATTTAAACTGATTTCCCACTTGAATACTCTTTTTGGGTTCAAATCATAGTCATATAGTTCGTGGAACGGTTCAGTACAGGAATGAGGATCATGAGCGCGGTTTGCTAGGTCTAACATATCCGCTTTACCTTCTAAAGATATGTTTGTGTACCTTCTCGATCTATTGTCCATTCGTCCGGCTGCTTTACATTTAGCTGCATTATCAATTACCACTTGCAACACATTAGTGGGTCCAACAGTCTTAATAGCTCCAACTAGAAATTTTGAAATCTCAATTCCAGTTTTTTCAATTCCAGAAAAACCTTCGAACATTACATCACGCAAATTCATGGCTAAAACATTGATAAGTGGCATATTGTTCACGTTAGACCGCTCATCCGAGACAATTGACACTCCTTGAGTGTACCACATATCTTTCACTTGTGTTAGATCCTTCTCAACGTCCCTAATGCATTTGTCAAGCAATACCGTTCTCGCCTTTTCACTAGATGGAGGCTTGTATCTGTCTGTAGCCTTTTTATAGCATTCACCGTTTCAATAAATTGAGGGTTGCGTAAAACATTGAATGGAATCCCATTTGCACACAAACCTCAAATAATCTTCAAGTCAACCGTGTTTCTCTCTAGTAGCCTGAAAGATTTTTCCAAGCGCTTCTTTGAGAATACATTTTTGGAAAGTAGAGAATTCTTTAAAGATTTTTAACTTCTCCAGTTTCTGCTTCTTTTACTTTATTCCCGAGGCTTTCATATTTCTGTCTGTTTTTAAGGACTGCATGACATCTTATCTCTGCCTTTCCCCCAGCTAACGGCCCAAATAGGTGAACATGAACTCTTGTATAAGAACTTGTGTACTTGGCTTTGTAGTGTTTGCATTCTTTGCAAATCCACTGTTTTGCACCTCCTGAATTTTTATTATCGCCATTGCCAAGAAATGTAGTACTTGCATCCCTAGCTTGTGTAGCAAGTTGGGTTTGTTGAGTTTCTGGTTTTCTCATTGACATCAAAAGCAATAACGAAAGAGCTGGATAGTTATTGCGACGAGCTGGATAGCGATTGTGAATGATTTGGAAAGCGTACTATCTGCAGTCCAGGTAGCGTTTGTAACGCTTTCGTACCGCAATTAGGTACGTAGCGTTCAGAACGCAGATCCTGCCCTCTTTGGTGATTTATGTAACTGTGATATAGCCTGCCCTGATTCCTCACTTCTTTTTTATTTTAGCCATTATTTATATTTAAGTTATAACATTTGATTCTCAATGGAGAGTTCAAATTGTGATGAGATGGAAAATGAAATTGTTTAAGACAATGAGTTGCATGAGACAATAAGTGGTTTTTTAAATTTGATGACATCTATTTGTTTTAGACAATGAGTAGATCTTTATTTTTAATACGATAGTATATTTTTGCTAGAACGGACTTAAATATTTTCACTTTTCGGTAGTAGCACCTTTGCGGCGGCTTTGCTATTTAATGAGGGGATTTTATTCATTTCAACTTTTAAACTATTTGATCAATTTTACATTTTCAGTTCAGACAAGTGAATCCATGGAATCGGCATTTTGAAAACGGGCTGGGTTAGGGTCGGTTCCAAATATAAAAATATGCTGCCCCGCCCCGCGCTATAGATTTTCAAAACAAGTTAGGGCCGGTACTCCTAAAATAGGACCGATCCTCCCTGTGCCCACCCCTAGTGCTTCCGCACCACCCCTTACTTTCTTGCCTTTTACATTAAAGTGCTTGTCCTTCCATGCTCCCCTATCAACGTTCTTTCGAGTTTGAGCCTATCTCTCACTTGTCGAATCGGCCCCGGTTTGTAAGGGAATGGTCCGTGCTCTGAGACCTATTAAGGTGACTTCTCTAACCTTGTTCCCTATGGGCTGTTTCTCTTTCTTTGTTTGAATCGGTGGGCGTAGCTCAACTGGTAGTGAGGGAGTGCCATAAGGGTTAGGTCCCGGGTTTGAATCCCGACAACTGCGATGAGAGATTACTATGCTAAAAATGCATAGGGCCTCTGCAAGTACCGGGTACGGAGCTCCACTCTCTATCTATCAGATTGTGATTATAGTCCAATTTACATCCTCTCATCGTGCCGTCCGGTCGGTGTTGGGGTCCCTTAGGGATGGGGTGTCATCCTTTTTTTTTCTCTTTCTTTGTTTGCTGCTATTCTAGTAAAGATAGGCGCACACGCTGCTTAAGGTTCACTGTCACTCCGTCTTCTCCTTTTATCAAGCACTTTGCTGCTCTTCCTGTTATCAAGCACTGCACTATTGAATTCCAACCGTGAAGTAATTGCTTGAAGCTTTCTATCTATCACTTCAAGCGAATAAAAATCTCACC